AACCAAAAAGCTCAGCCTGAAAACCAAACCAGTAATTAGCATGATTTTTTGGGGGGCTATTGTTTAAACAGATACATTTAAACAATTTACATCATTAGAAGACTTTTCAATGTGACTGACTTGTAACCACAGTAGATTTGTGTGGGTTTATAATGGGTTGTTTGTTGTGAATATTACCACCACCCTAAATATTAAATGTGACTGACAAACACAGGTTGGCTAACCACATCCTTACATCATCTCTAAAACCAGTAGGCAGTGTTCATATAATGCAAGCAATCAGCTTCCCCAGTACAGATCTCTTCTATGAATGCCCACCTCCTACCGACACTTTACTTATTCTTTTGTACCTTCTTCTACGTTATATATCTCAGTGCCTGGTTGATTAGCATTTCGTCACTTCCCATCGGATTGCTAATTACCTTATTTTCGTTTCCTTACTGATGGGGATACGTTATTCGCTGATAATTATTTCATCTCTGTCAGTCGCTGATAGTACACTTTCGCCCTACCGTTTTCCATTGATTAGTAGCTCATCTTCAGCCTTCTTCCACTGACAAGCATTTTTCCTCTACTGATTAGCATCACCTTACCTCGATTAGCACTACCTCAGCCTCTACTGACAGCACGCACTCGTTCTCTTCCCATTGACACCCCACCTTCGCTTCAGCCTTGACGATAAGAGTTCTACGCCTTCTACTGACAGCCTCTTCCTGGCTGACAGCACCCCACCCCTGCCTGCCTCCTACTGACAGCACCCCACCCCTGCCTCCCTCCTACTGACAGCACCCCACCCCTGGGGTGCATTCTACACAAGGGTCAGTAGGAGGGAGGCAGGGGTGGGGTGCTGTCAGTAGGAGGCAGGCAGGGGTGGGGTGCTGTCAGTGTGAGGCGTGGGTGGGATGGGGTGCTGTCAGTAGGAGGGGGGCAGGGGTGGGGTGCTGTCAGTAGGAGGGGGGCAGGGATGGGATGGGGTGCTGTCAGTAGGAGGGGGGCAGGGATGGGATGGGGTGCTGTCAGTAGGAGGGGGGCAGGGATGGGGTGCTGTCAGTAGGAGGCGGGCAGCAGGGATGGGATGGGGTGCTGTCAGTAGGAGGGGGGCAGGGATGGGATGGGGTGCTGTCAGTAGAAGGGGGGCAGGGATGGGATGGGGTGCTGTCAGTAGGAGGGGGGGGGATCTGTACTGGGGAAGCTGATTGCTTGCATTATATGAACACTGCCTACTGGTTTTAGAGATGATGTAAGGATGTGGTTAGCCAACCTGTGTTTGTCAGTCACATTTAATATTTAGGGTGGTGGTAATATTCACAACAAACAATCCATTATAAACCCACACAAATCTACTGTGGTTACAAGTCAGTCACATTGAAAAGTCTTCTAATGATGTAAATTGTTTAAATGTATCTGTTTAAACAATAGCCCCCCAAAAAATCATGCTAATTACTGGTTTGGTTTTCAGGCTGAGCTTTTTGGTTTCCACACATTGTACTATATTATAGAGGTTTACTCATAGTTTGAGACAGGTTCAAAAATAGACCAGATTTCTCTCATATTAATAATGTTAACAGCAACTTTTGAATATATCGGTGGTTGAGCCTTTCATGTAAACAGATTCAATAACTGGTGAGATTAATAAAAAAATTGTTTAAAAAGTGTGACTTTGGTGGGCTCTGTTTGAATTTTTGTTTTTTCTGGCATATGGTGGCAGTACATGTGGGTTTTGCTCCTTTCCTGTGGACAAGTATGTAACAAGATTAAGTTAACAAACCCCTCCCCCTTGCCCTATATAAGGGCTATCTGGCAAAATCTACCCCAGTTTCCTTTCTTGTCCCGAGAGGGAAGGACACAACATCTAAATGGTGAGACACATAGGCTCCTGGTCAGGGGGATCCGGTCCGAGAGCTGCCCGTGTGGTTGGCTGAGAGACCATGCTTCCGACCGGTAGGTTACGGAGCAAGTGGATATGTGATTCCTTTTATGCCAAGAAGGGTTCCGGCAATACTTCCTGGAGGCGGAGTTTATCTGGCGCACAGCGGTGAAACGCACGCCCAGGTGGTGCGTTTCACCTAAGCTTCCGGTTGTGCTAGTACGCATGCGCAAACCGAAAGCTTTATTTAAAAAAAAGCTTCAAAATCTAAGCTGTGCAGGTACCTACTGCCAGCAGGGATGCTTGTCAGAAGAGGTACTCCTTGTCACCAACCCCCACACGGCTCAGAGGTATTTTAAGGTAAGATTAACTAATCTTTACTTTAAAATTATCTCTGTAAAGTTTATACACGAAGGGTACAAGGAAAAAAAATGAAGACTATGAGGGAAGAAGAGTGGTAATAAAAAAGAGAGTTTCGGCACTATATGCTCTATGTATGAGTTACTGTGAGCAGTATATGTACCCACTATATGCTCTATGACAAGTGAATGAGCAGTATATGTACCCTCTATATGCTATGATGAGTTGCTGTGAGGACTCAGAGTGTGTGTGTATATATACCGTATTTTTCGCTCCATAAGACGCACCTCACCATAAGACGCACCTAGTTTTTAGAGGAGGAAACCCAGAAAAAAAATATTCTGAACAAACTGTTCCATAGTGTTTCTTACCATGGGACAGTTTGTTCAGAATATTTTTTTTTCTCCCCTGTCCCATAATGATCTTTAACCCCCCTTTCCTCTGTCCCATAGTGATTGTTAACCCCTCCTACCCTGTCCCATAGTGATTGTTAACCCCTCCTACCCTGTCCCATAGTGATTGTTAACCCCTCCTACCCTGTCCCATAGTGATTGTTAACCCCTCCTACCCTGTCCCATAGTGATGGTTAACCCCTCCTACCCTGTCCCATAGTGTTCTTTAACCCCTCCTCCCCTTGTCCATTAGTGTTCTGATCCCATAGTGTCCCCCCCTCCCATTGTCCCATAGTGCACTTTCCCTCCCATAGTGTCCCCCCTGCCCTTGTCCCATAGTGTCTCCCCCTCCCCTTGTCCCATAGTGTCCCCCCTCCCCTTGTCCCATAGTGTCCCCTCCCTTGTCCCATAGTGTCTCCCCCTCCCCTTGTCCCATAGTGTCCCCCCCTCCCCTTGTCCCATAGTGTCCCCCCCTCCCCTTGTCCCATAGTGTCTCCTCCCTTGTCCCATAGTGTCTCCCCCCTTGTCCATGTCCCATAGTGTCCTCCTCCCCTCCCCTTGTCCCATAGTGTGTCCTCCCTTGTCCCATGGTGTCTCTCCTTCTCTATGGGTCCCCTCCTTGTCCCATAGTGTCCCCTCTCCTTTCTCCCATAGTGTCTCCTCCCTTTCTCCCATAGTGTCCCCTCCCTTGTCCCATAGTGTCTCCTCCCCTCGTCCCATAGTGTCTCCCCCTCCCTTGTCCCATAATTACTTACCTGTCTTGGAGCGTGGGCCGGCTTCACAGCGCGCTCCGCGGTCCAGGAACTATTTCAGGTTCCGGTTTCCGGCGGGACTGAAAGGAAGTGTGCACTGAGTGTGCTAGTCCCGCCGGAAGCCCTGAAATGGAAGTAGACCGCGGAGGAAGCCGAAGCCGGCCCACGCTCCAAGACAGGTAAGTAATCTTCACATTCGCTCCATAAGACGCACAGACATTTCCCCTCACTTTTGAGGGGGAAAAAAGTGCGTCTTATGGAGCGAAAAATACGGTATATATATATATATATATATATATATATATATATCTATCCACTATATGCTCTATGTATGAGTTACTGTGAGCTATGACGAGTTGCTATGAGCATTATGTGTATCCGCTATATGCTCTATAATGAATTGCTGTGAGGTGTCAAAATATATATATATATATATATATATATATATATCTATATATATATCTCAAAAATAGAAAAGTCCTTGCACTCACGCTTGGATGATTTAATAACCGGGTGGGTGCTTGTAATCCAGGAAAATTCAAATAAATTAAGATAGCGATCAGCACTCACGGATTTTCAAGAATTAAAATTAACAATTTATTAAGTATCCATTAAAAGATCAATCCGTGAGTGCTGATCACTATCTGAATATATATATATATCCACTATATGCTCTATGTATGAGTTACTAGGAGGGCTCAGTATGAGTATACACTAGATGCTCTATGTAGGAGTTATTATGAGGACAGCCTCTGTATATGTATCCTCTATATGCTCTCTGACGAGTTGATGTGAGCTTTGTATGAGTTACTATGAGGACTAAACCTCAGTATAGGCTCTATAGATGAGTTAATGTGAGAATTCAGCCATCAGTATATGTATCCACTAGAGGCTCTATGTATGAGTTATTGAGGTCTCTGCCTCTCTATATGTATCTACTATATGCTCTACGATGAGTTGAGGTAGGGAATCAGCTTCAGTATATGCATCCACTTTTATGCGCTAGGTATAGTTACTATATAGACTCAGCCTCAGTCTATATACCCACTACATGCTCTATGTATGAGTTTTTAAGAGGACACAACCTCTGTAGATGTATCCACTATATACTCTAGGTTGAGTTTATGTGAGATCTCAGCTTCAGTATATGTCACCATATGCGCTATTTATGAGTTACTATGTGGACTCAGCCTCAGTATATGTACCCACTATAGTCTCTATGTAGGAGTTATTAGAAGGACACGGCCTCTTACTATGTAGCCACTTCATGCTATATGATATATGCTCCATATATGTGTTTCTATGAGGGTTCGGTTTCAGAACATGTGATTTTTATATACTCTATGTTGGAGTTAGGAGGACACCGCACAGTATAATGCTCTATGTAATATTTACTATAAGGACACAACCTTGGTAATTCTATCCTCTATATGCTCTATGTATGAGTTTCTGTGGAGACAGAGCCTCAGTATAGGTATTCTCTAGATGCTCCAGGGATGTGTTCTTGGAGGTTACTACCTCAGTCTATATATCCTCTATTTGTGCCATACATTAGTTACTGTGAGGTCGCCACCTCTATATATCTTCTGTGGCGCGGTTTACCACTCTGTTTTTGCACCTCTATATATTTATCTACATGTTGGATTACTTCTAGGAATCCTATCAGACAGCTTAACTTGCGGGAACCAGAGCTATATTTTTTTTTTTCTTCTCTCCTGGTTGCTCAACGCAATACTAAACATGATTCCTGGAGATCAGGATTAACCTATGCTACATTAGTGCCTAAATTGGCGATTGTCAAAGAATGATTCATTTGTTTTCTCTTTAGGTCTATGTTTGGTAACTTTATTGTTGCAATCATAGACGGCTGATACCGCACCTACACTTGAGATAATTTGGGATCAGAACAGAGGTAGACATGTCTGACGCCATCAGTTCTACCAGACATCCAGGGATCCTTATTCCCTTTCAAGGAGTTCCTTAGTCTCGTGTTTCAGTCCAACAGGTTGTTGGTTTTCTTTTTCCAACCATAGAGTAAGGGAGTTGGTAGAAGCAGATCCGGATTTGAAAGATATTGTTCCATCAGAGCTTAGTCCTTTAGTGGACTCTAAATGGGAGATTCTATAAGCCTAGTCGGGAAAGGTAGAGGCTCTACATGGGTGGGGTTTTTTTTCTTCAATTTTTCCCATCGTGTAAAAGCTCTACTTTCTTGGTGTAAGTCCTCAGAGTTCCTTTCAGGAGGCCTGTTTCTTGCGTCTGAAGTTCATTACAGATGCTCTCGTAATTGTTTGGTGAGCTTATCTAGTTTCCATCATACTTCGAGGTTTAGGTTGAGGGAAAATCCGCAGTTTCGGGGGTTTCAGCAATGCTTTCCGCCTTCACCCCTCCAGTCAGTGGATGCAGCGGAAGGCCATATAGATTCAAGTGGACTCCTGTACACTGGGTTCATATACGTCAACCGGCAAGGAGGAATCAGAGTAGGCGCTCTTTATCGCCTGTAGGCGGTTATCTTGCTGTGGTGCAAACATTTCTAGTAGATATTTCGACAGTTTTCTTTTCAGAGGGATCAACAATTACTTAGCCGTCAAGCTCGGCAGGGGTAATTGGAATCAGAGAGTTTGGTCCTGAGGTCCATGTGTTGTTTTATGTTCTGGAGAGGAACTTCGATTTTCCAGACTTGACCCTTAGGGCAAGCCTTACAGAAGCCAGGTTCCCCAAGTTTCCTCCCTGTTCAGAGCAGGTCCCTTCAATGAATAGAAATACTCTCATTGTAATGTACTGGCATACGTCTTTCTTCCGCTGTCACTATTTCCAAGGATTCTTCGGAAATGAGGGCAGTCAGAACTTTATCCTGGTTCTTATTCTACTCTAGGCCAAACAAGGTTCTTGTTCCCGACGTTCAAGAAGATGGCCTCCACGCAGTGGGAATTTACAATCTCATAATAAACAGGAATCTAACCTAGGGTTCTGTAGAAGTTCAGGTTTACATCCTGGTTACTGCTGTGTTAAAAACGACTACCTACTTTTTCGGTCTACTTTCATATAAAGGTCAAGTTTATTTTTTGATGGTGGGAACACCATTGCCCGCATGTTCATCCGTCTCTAAGACGCATGTTTCAATATTTTCTGTAAATTATTTTTTTCTGCAGACTTGGGTCTTTCTGCTTTGAAGTTCAAGCCTCAGTCCTCAGATTCACTCAGAAAGATTTTGCATCCGTTTGTTAATCTATAGGTTTGTTGTGATCTGTCAGGTCCAGACATCCTCCTAGAGATCTGTTTTTTTTTTTTCCTGGCTAGGGTTTATCATTGATTTTTCCAGCTCTTTCTGCCCCTCTTTCGATCTTTTGGAAGAGGTGTCCCTTACACGTTTCGTTCCTCTAGGTCACCTTCTTGGTGGCCGTCAGACCAGCTAAAAGATTCAGTGAGCTTCAGGCATTTTCTTCCCCAGATGATTTTTGCAGTATTGCTATGGACAGGGTGGTTCTTCACCTTACGAAACTTCCTTTTTTTCCTACAAGTCAACCGATTGTGTCTGCTTTGCCTTGGGTGGTTGTCCCACCTCTCTTCGGGAGTGTCACGAGCGTGGGCTTTAGGCCCAGCCGAGACAGTGGGTAGAGTGTGGAAGTGACAGGGTTAATTACACCAGACCCCTGGTTACTTGTTGCTAGTCCCAGCAACCACTCAATTAACCCCTGCAATCCCTTCTACACTAACCCCCTTAGTACACACTTTACTGCCACCACCAAGACTTTTAAACCCGGGCGTCTTAGGTTACCCCACACACAGGAGAATTATAGTATCACAGTTCTACTTTTACTGATAAAACATATATAGTTAACCCTTTTTGGTAACGTGTTTACCTGAGCTTTCCTCTGGAGAGTGAAGCTCATAGAGAACAGAGACACAAGCTGATTAAGTAAACATTTAATCTGACAAAAAAGGATTCACAGTGCTGAGTACAAAATACAGAAATAAATGACATACAGATAACAAATTGCAAAACAGTACATTAAATAAAATAGGAGAAAACACAAGAAATTCCTTACATGTAGTTACCCCATATAGAATTCTTGTGGGAGTCATAGATGGTAAAGGTCTCCTAGAAGTTGCTGACAAAAAAAAATGAATAACTGAACTCCCTGGATATATCTAAACTAGTTGTTTCTCAGTGGGCAGACCCCTGGTGGGGGGGACCAGAAGGGGTTGGTCTGGCAGTCTATTGCCCACTCTATGAAATTCCTTGTATTCAGCTCTGGTGATGGCTATCTAGATGTTTTATGGTCTAGGCCTGGTGCAAGATCAAAGACCACACTAAATGTCATCCCAAGGTTTACAAAAAAACAACTCTTAACATATATAAACACACATCAAACACCAACTCATGCTTTTGGCATGACAGGGAGCTTAAAGAGTTTTTTTTTTTTTTCTTGGAGCATTGCAAGGTTTTTCTTCCTAGGACTGAGGAGCTCAGGTATTCTGGCCTGTTTGTTAACCTCCAGTGTAGATTCCAGGGGTACGGAGCTTCCTGCAAAAAACTTTGGTTTAAATTGACTCAGACGAGCAAGTAGATTGGCATATTTTTCCGGTGGTCCTTAAGTGCCAATATCTCTTACGGCTCTTTTCTCTTAGGGTATTGGCTGCCCCTGGGGGGGTAGAACTCTTGTTTCTCCAGTAGATGTCTGTAAGGCAGCATCTTAGGCTGCCTTTCCACATCTTCGTTATTCTCTACAGGCTTGAGATATTCTCAGCCTCGTAAACGGCCTTTGGGCATAAAGTTTGCCAGCTGTACTAGCATTGGACCCACTCGGTTGGGGTATCTTGCTATATCCCACATGTACTGCCACCATATGCCAGAAAAAAATGACATTTTTACTTACCGTAAATTCTTTTTTTCTTAATATGGTGGCAGTACAACTTCCCTCCCTCTATATGTGTATATATAAACTCATTTTTAGGTTGTTTTGTGTTTTTTCTTGCTACTTACTGGGGTAGGTTTTGCCAGATAGCCCTTATATAGGGCAAGGGGGAGGGGTTTAACTTAATTAATCTTGTTAGATGCTTGTCCACAGGAAAGGAGCAAAACCCACATGTACTGCCACCATATTAAGAAAAAAAGAATTTACGGTAAGTAAAAATTTCTGTCTGCTGCATTGTTGTGTACCGTCAAGCCTTCAACTTTCGTTCACTTAAATACATATTGCTTTTTTTTTGTCTGTACAAGTAAATGCGTCCATTTTACTTTCTATAATAAATATCATTGGTCCATCAGCTTATTGTGCTGCTGAAAATTCATTCTATGTACAGCTCAGCCACACAGGGAGGATCAACCAATGTATAGTGAGATAATTTCACTTATTCACTAAATCATGAATTGTGGAGAATTGTGGACTGAATTATTAAAATAGCCAATCTGGGACTAGCTCGTGTGTGTGTGTGTGTGTGTATTGTGATACTATCTAGAGTACAGAGGTACTAGAATCCTGAATGGGAATACAGTTTATAGGGTGTATTTGCAATGGTTGTGGAGGACAAACTGCATGTGATTGGTCCAGGCAGTGCTTCTCTGTCATAACCAGGTATGCTAAATGTGGATCCTGCCTCAACAGTCTCACTAGTTTAGTTTTGTATTATTTATGTCTGCATTGATTTTGAAGTGTTAAAAACGTTTATATATGAGGTGGGTCTATTAACATTTTTTTTTTTTTTTAAATTGCCTTTAATTCTATTGTTTAAAATCCATTGAGTGTACATAGAGCCAGTCAGCCATTGCAGCTTGGGCAGGGCTGTCTATTAGAAGTTACAGTGTGCACGTTTGCAGGACTTATTTGACCTCTGCGTCCCTGGCAGTCCCTTCACCGCACTTGATTCAATATCAGAAGCTTCTTAGTGAAACCTCTGATGGGTCATTTACATTTGGAAAAAGTGGGGGAGGAGGGGTTGCAAATGCTGCAAACAAGATTGTATATCCCTAGTTTTGTTTACTTCCGGTCTATAGTCCAGGTACTTTGTCGTAACTACGGTATTCATTCCACTGTATGACTTCTTCTAATGCTGAAGACCTCCTACATTTTATCATCATTTACACAGCAACCATTACAAGTTTTTCATTAGATAAACAAAGTGCAAGAGAAACTGCCAGATATTTTAGCTGAGAAAAGCTTTTGCCGAATTATAAAAATAATGCAAAATTCAGGATTAAATATCCAGTGCTGAGGAGTTGGTACCTTTTTAAAAATTTTTTATATATTATATTACTACATGTAGTCGATACTAGATTGGTTGTTAATATACCTGTCAAAAAGCTTTAATGCTGTCAGACTGTTCTCCCTTCACCTAGCTAATTGCATTATTTCCATTTACACAATTTAATTACAATTAAGGGATCATTTCCTACATCATACCATTTAACCCTATCGTCTCAGAGAGTTGGCAGATTATTTCTCATCGTGCACTGTTCCGTTATGCAGTTCTTTGTAATAATTAAATCTGCTCATCTCGTTGACTTCTAGCCTTTTTTAATAAAACTCTTAATCTGGCAAGCTTTTCTTCTGTTTAGTTGTAATATACATTACTGGGACTTTCTCTAAAATGGATCCACATTTTTATTTGTATCCCCAAAAGTATGACTAGTTTATATATTTTTGTTTGTTTTTTGTTTTTTTCCACTAACTAGGAATTATGTGCTTGATTTATTTGTTTCAGGTGTTGTTTTCTGGCCATGTCTACTAAAAATGAGCCTCAATTTCACTGTAACTAAACTTTAAAGGAACACTATAGCGTTTATAATACAAATGTGTATTCCTAATGCTATAGTGCAGAGCTTGACAAATTTGTTTGGAATTTGTGAGGTTTTTGGGTTTTTTTTAAATTAAGTTTAATTTTCAAGGAGAAAAATGCTATTTTAAAGAGACACTATAGTTACCTGAACCACTACAGTTTAATGTAGCTGTTCTGCTGTCCATAGCCTGTGCTTGTAGCCTTTTCAATGTAAACACTTTTTCAGAGAAAATGCAGTGTTTACATTGATGCCTAGTAACACCTCTAGTGACAGTCACTCAGACAGCCATTAGAGAGTCCTGTGTCAGTGCTGCACAGTGTGCAGGACCTATGTTCAGCGTCTCCACGCTCTGCATGGAGGCGCTGAATGTTGCCCATAGAGAACGCTCTTGCATTAGGATTTCTCCATAGGCAAGCATTAATCAATGCTTTCTTATGGGGGAAAAAAAAATCTGACACTGGAGGTCCTCATGCACAGCGTGAGGACGTCCAGCGTCTGATAACGGACCAAAGGTCTGTTTCGATTCAGGAAGCCCTCTAGCGGCTGTCTGGTAGACCGCCACTGTGGGCAGATTTAGAGCTGCAACTGCACTGTTTTAGAGTACAGCACTAGGTGCAAAAAGGGACAGAGCACCCAGACTACTTCAGTGAGCTGCAAAAACAGCAATATAAACGCCACAATATCGGTGAAATGTAGTGGAAAAATGACTTTGCTTAGTGATCAAAATGTAGCCTCCCAACATCGCTACCCACAAAGAACGACCTTCAATATACAGAATACCAGAAAACAGAATATTCGGGATACGGCTAAGTGAATCTAAAAAAGGAAAATAGACAAAAAATAGTGTGATACAGTATGCACAATAAATCATGCGCTATATAAGAATGCACTCACGAGATGACGTAGAGTTAAGCGTTCATAGGGTGCCTCCCGCGATGATATGGGGGATAGTAATCCCCTTCTCACTGCAGGATAACCAGTGGTACACAGGACTTCAGATGGATTAGGGTAAAAAAAATCAGCTCTTTTATTATTTTAAAAGGTGAGTGATCACCAATCTGCATAGGATAAAAAAGAGCGAAAGCTGAATTATTATTATTATTATTATTATTATTGCCATTTATATAGCGCCAACAGATTCCGTAGCGCTTTACAATATTATGAGAGGGGATTTAACTATAAATAGGACAATTACAAATAAACTTACAGGAACAATAGGTTGAAGAGGACCCTGCTCAATCGAGCTTACATTCTATAGGAGGTGGGGTGTAAAACACATTAGGACAGGAATTTGCAATCAAATAAGGTGGGCTGCCCTTTAGGAGAGGGCAAGAGACAGGTATGTGAGGTAGGGGTTAGTCTTGGAGGCCATAAGCTTTCCTAAAGAGATGGGTTTTAAGGCATTTCTTAAAAGATGCAAGACTAGGGGAGAGTCTGATGGCGGGAGGCAGGCTATTCCATAGGAAGGGATCCGCCCGCGAGAAGTCCTGCAAGCGCGAGTTGGCTGTACAGGTGCAGACAACGGACAGGAGGTGGTCACGGGCAGAGCGGAGAGACAGAGAAGGGACATACCTGTGGATCTGTGAGGAGATATAAGAGGGGCTAGAGTTCAGTGCTTTATAGGTGTGAGTTAGTGCCTTGAATTGGTCTGGGTGCCTACAGTGTCCCTTTTAAGTGCTAGGTATTTAAATATTCTCCCAGACACAGAGGCACCAGGGAGGGTCTACCTATGTTTTCAATGGAAACCCGCTGCTGGGTGTCTGTGTTTAAAAGATCACATTATCCCCAATAAAGGTTGTCATTGTCCCACCATCAAGTTTTGTCTGATGTGTGGGGGGGAATAAATATAACACTATTCAGCACTTTCTTCCAGCTCAAGGGATATTCCAGCAAAGATACTCAGCCAGAGTATAGGAGTTTCGCTACAAGTATCTCCTAGAGATGCATTGAATCACTGCATCTGTATCTGGAATGTTAAGCGACTTCAAGCAGACCGTGGAGATGCTAAATGACAGTACTGCACAGACACAGGAAGCACCTTTATTAGGTGTTACTGTTACTAGGCAGCAATGTCAACACTTCTCTGGAAAGACAGTGTTTACAGTGCTAACACTGCAGGTAAATGCTGCAGACACCAGAACCACTACATTAGGCTGTAGTAGTTCTGGTTAATATAGTGTCCCTTTAAAATACAAGATGTGAAAAGTATATATTATTATATGTAAAAAAAAAAATACATTTAAATCCGTTTTTTCAGGTCTGCTAATGAATTTAT